CCGTGGCCTTGGTGTTATCAGCACCGCACTCTACCGAGTGAGCCACAGGCCGGCCCCTTACTGGTCATCTTTAAAAAAAAAAAAAAAGTGCCATGGCAGAGTCTGGGCACAGCAGGGGGCAGGGTTTGTTCCCACAGGGCAGCTCTTGCCCTTGGAAAATGAGCTGCCCAGATGGGTGCCCAGCAGCCCCTCCCAGTGTCCCCCTCACCCTAAGAAAAGACAGAGCCCAGCAAGGGCCCAAAGGGGACCTGGGAGGGGACCCTGAGGACAGGGCTGTGCCTGCTGTCCTCTGTCAATACTTCCCACAGGGCACACAACAGAAGCGCTCAGTAACTGGGTGAGTCTGAGCCCTCTGCCTGCTGGGGGCTGACCCCTTGCTCACTACAAACCCAACGGCACGGTCAGTTCAGCACCTCCCCGTGACCTGGCTGTGAGCATAAGGACAGCAACCACTATGTTTGTGTGACCCCTGCAGCCCAGGCAGCTCATGCACCCAGGAGGTGCTCAGCAGTTGCCAGCTGCCCCATTACATGGCAGAAAGATCGAGGTCTCTGGAGAAGGGATTCATCCCCTCCCCTCTGTGCTCCACCCCAGATTGCCTTCTAAAACAATAATTAAGCTGTCTCTCTGAGCAGACCAGGAGCCCCTGGAGGGCAAGAGTGGATCTTAATGCAATGATGCCCAGGGTCTGGCATCAATAGGGCCTCAGTGAGTGGAAGGGTAGACAGAGGATGTGCAGATGAAGGTGGCTGGGGGAAGAGACACCAAATGGGCCAGTGCACAGGACAGGCTGGTAAACAGGGGCCTGGATGCACAGGTCATGCTGGGCCAAGTGGCTGGCCAGGTGGACAGGAAGTCTGGTGGGCGAATGGAAGGAAGGATAGGTTGATTTGTTCCTCAATGAACAGAGTGGTAGATGGGTAGATGGACACAGCCAAGACCACTCAAGAAGTCAGAGGCCAGCAGAGATGAAGACCCTGGACGTTCCTGCCCTGGGACCAGACCCATGTCCACTAGAGAGGACACAGCTTTTAGGAGGGTGAGGAGGTACTCACCTTTACCTGCAGCTGTGGGGATGAGGTTCCAGGGGAAGGTACAGGGCTCCTGTCCCCAACCAACAAGAGAGGGGTTGGGGTGGTGCCACCACAGGACTTGGCTGCCTGGGGACCTGGGCTGCCACTAGTCCTGGGGGTAAGGCCAGGGCTGGCTTGAGGCGTCCGTGCCACACTGGGCTGCACCAGCTCCCCAGAGGAAGACAGGGAGGAGTTGGCAGAGAGGCTGACAGGGTTGCCTGGGATGCCAGGGGTGCCAGGGGCATGGACAGCAGGCTCTGAGGAGCTCTTGGGCACAGCTGGTGGCTCCAGAAGCATCCCACCAGCGCTCTGGCTGCAGCTCTCAGATGACAGGCTCTCCACGCTGAGGGCTGGAGATGGTGTGGCTGAGGGTGGCTCTGAGTGCGAGAGGCGGGAGGCATGGAGAGCTGTACAAACGAGCAAGCAGACACCATACGACGGGGCACGATCAGGGCTTCTGGCCTCACCTAACACGCTCCACTCTCAACAGAGCTGCAGGTGGCCCTGGAAACCCATGCTCCTCCACATCTAGGCGGGACAAGGGCCCAGAGGACAGCCAATGCATGACAGGGGCAAAGTCATAAAGCGCACCCAGTGGTCCGCATTCATCCCACACTCCCATGCTGTGGGCCCCTCATCCTCAGCCAGCAGGGCTGATGCCTCCGCTTCCCCACAACGCACAGCCCCTCCCATGCCTGAGCGTACCCAAAGGCTAAACCACCCGGGCAGGGGAGGCGAGGCTCTGATGCATGGGAAGGCCAGAGAGAAGTGAGGCCACCTCTCCTCTGCTCCGACCCACAGGGCAGGGAGGGCAGAGCAGGGAGGAGCAGGCAGCCCCCGCAGCCACCGACTCTGGCCAGGCACTGCTGGACACCAATTCACTCTCACGTGGATGGCAGGTACCATGCCTCTAAGTACATCATCCCCATTTGCCAGATGACGCAAGAGACTCAGAGAGGAAACACTTGCGCCAGCAAGGGCTGGGGCTGAACCCAGCCGTGTCTGACTCCAGAGCTCATGCCTATCCACTGTACCCTGAACCTGTCCCAGAACTCCACCCAGACCACCCGAGCACCTGCCTCTGGTCATCTCTAACGTACCCTTGACCGCACTGTCTGAAGGGGTCCTACTGAGCTCTCGGAGGCAGCCAGTCCCCAGCCGTGGGAAGGTGCCTGAGCCCAGGGCATAAGAAGACTGGCAAAAGGTGAGAGTCCAAAACTACAGCGTGCCTGGAAGAGGGAGGGAGTACTGGTGGGGGAGGTGCAGCACCCTGGGACTGGCCCACCACTGTTTCACAGACGGGGAAACTGAGGAAAGAACAGCTCAGAGTCACCACACCTGAGCCACACACAGCCAGGTGAGAGCCCAAGTTGCTTGTTGCTCGGCCACTGGGGCAACAGGGACAGAGTTGGGCAGGTTAAAGCTAACCCCACTGTGTGTTTTCCAGGAACCCAGTGTCATGCTAAGCACTTCACTGGGTAACACATTTCATGAGCTCAATGGGAGGGGTGGGGTCGTGGGGCTGGCCAGTTAGCTCAGTTGGTTACAGCATAGCCTTTTAACATCAGGGGGCAACAGGGACAGAGTTGGGCAGGTTAAAGCTAACCCCGCTGTGTGTTTTCCAGGAACCCAGTGTCATGCTAAGCACTTCACTGGGTAACACATTTCATGAGCTCAATGGGAGGAGTGGGGTCGTGGGGCTGGCCAGTTAGCTCAGTTGGTTACAGCATAGCCTTTTAACATCAGGGTTAGGGGTCCGGATCCCATACTGGCCAGCTGCCAAAAAAAAAAAGAGCATGGACTCAGGAACCAGACCGCCTGGGTTCAAATCCTGCCTCCACTCTTCAGCACTGTGAGGTCTTAGGCAAATAAATGACTTACCCTCTCTGTGCTTCTGTCTCCTCACTGCAAAGTGGGGTACAGATATGTACTCACGGGTTTGCTATAGGCTCACATGACCACACCCTGCCCTGGCTCCCAACCCCACAGTCCTGACCATCAGGAGGGCTCCAGAAAAGGCACTCACCGAGCGGTGATGCACTGGGCGCTCGGGGGGCAGGGCGCTTCTTTGTCTTGGGGCTGCTGGTGGGGGTGATGCCGTACCAGGGGTGCAGGATCTTGGGTGTGGACTCCGAGTGGGCCAGGGCAGGGCTGGTGACCAGGCTGGGTGCAGCTGGGGACTCCTCTCCTTCTTCCTCCTCCTCAAAGGGGTTGTAGGGCTTGGGCTCCGGGCCGGCCGCTGGGCTCTGCTGGGTCACCTCCTCCACGCCTCCGTTCTGCACCTGCCTGCTGGCCCGGCCTGCCGGCCCAGGGCTGCTCGGGGGGAGCGGGGCCAGCTTCTTCTTAGGCTCTGCCTGCACCAGCGCGATCCATGGGGGGTCCTTCCTGGGGGCTGGCATCCTGGAGGGAAGCAGGAAGAGGCAAAAACCATTAGCAGAGGCGAGGGGTCAGCTTCCTTCTCTCTCTGCAGTTTTCAGTCCATTTCAAAGGGGGTAGATGAGAAACGGCCCCTTCCCTTCTCACACCCCCAGCCGCATGGAACCATTCTGAGCCCAGGCTGAAATGGACTATTACAGTCACATCCCAGCTGGATCCCCTGAGGTCTAGAGGAGGGGACCTTAAAGTCACCAGCCGCCATTAACCCAGCCCAGAAAAGGACTGACAAGGGGCTCTGCCATTTACCACCTGCACGATACTGAGGAAGTTACCTGGCCTCTCCATGTGTCAGTATCCCTAGCCATTAAGCCAGGACAATAATTACCCTGCTTCACATGTTGCTGAAAGGATGCAGTGAGTTCCCTCATCCCCCACTGGGCACAGCACCCAAGCACTTGTGCCAGATGCTCAACAAAGGTTAACTACTAGTACGGCCGTGCCCCACCTCACTCCCTCACTGGCCAACCATACAGGGGAAGCACCGCTCCCAGAGAACAGCTGCAAACACATGTCCTCCCCTGTGAAGCAGGGTGCTGGGGTGGAGGACCTGAGAGCCAGGGGCCACAGCTGAACTCTTCCAGATCTTTCTATGCTCTGCAGCTAAGCCTCACAACAATGCTATAAGTGCAGCCTAGGTCCCCTATCTTGTAGAGGAAACAGTGGCTTGGTGAGGTGTTATGATTCCAGAGGCAGCTGTCCACCAAGCACTGCTGTCCACGGGAGCAGGGACCCAGGAAGCAGGTCAGGCAGTGGCAGCAGGAATCCCAGGGTAAGCCACGGGGAAAGGGGGGAAAGGGAACATGGGCACGGCTCTCCTTCCCCACCCGGAGATGAGCCTCCCTCCTGAGCTTGGCCCTGCCCATCCACAGGATGCATTGCCCCCCATCCAGGCCCCAGGGGTACCCCATACCCAGCACCAGGACCTCCCAAGCAAAAAAGCCTCTCAGGGACCAACATACCCGTCTGACAACTTGGGTGTCCCTCTCGGCTTGGGGACAGGGGGTTCGTGCAGTCTTCCTAGATGGGAAAGGAGAGTGAGCCAGGCCTTCATGGGCAGCAGAGGGGCTCCCAGGGAGTCAGCCAGAGTGCTGCTCTGCCAAGGAGTGCCCTACCTTCTGAGCTGGCAGGTCATGGGCTCTAGGTGGCCATGGCAACCTCAACTGCCCCCTCCCAGCCCAGCCCTCAGGGAGATTAGATAAGCACCAAAGGTGACCTAGTAGAGAATGTCAGAGGGGCAGGACCAGGCCACCTGAGACATCATTTGCATTTCAGTTGAGAAAAGGGAACCCAAGTGCCCTCAGATACTCCCCCAGTGTGGTCAGGAATCATCGTCTCAACTCAGCTCAGGAGTCACCTCCTCCTGGAAGTCTCCCCTCACTTCCAAGTGTCTTCCATGAGTCCTACAAAAGCCCATTTCCTTCCGTCCATCTTAAAAAGACCTCTACATTCTACTGAAACCCCCATGTCTGTGCCTGTCTCCCCCTCAACACTGGTAGCACTTCGAAGGCACAAATAGGTCTGAACAGTATCCGTGTCCCCAGTGCCCAGCTCAGAGCTGGGCTCAGAGCCAGCCTCCTTGCATACTAAACAGAACTGAATAAATAGAATATTCTGGTGCAAGTCCCAGGGAGACCCTGGGAGTCTCTCTCCCCAGGCTTCCAGTGCCTTCCTCAACAGGATGATGGGGGCTGCCCAGCACACCTCAGGTTCCACAGGCCTCGTTTCCATGAGCTTATGGAAACCCAAGGAGGTGATTTGGGAATGGTCTGTGATGAGGGGGAGGGGGAGAATAGACCCACAGAGTGGGGCAGGGGTCACCATTGCAGTTCAGACCAGCTTAGAGACCCACTTGACACCTCTGCCCTCCCTTCAGGAGACTGAGGTCTCCCCTGCCAGACATTGACAAGCACATAGGCTGAGTATGGAGGACGCCTAGAGTGCGCCTGAAGATCGGCCAGGACACACAGTAATGACACCAACGTGCACAGAGTCCCAGAGACACTCAGGATACACAGGCACACATGGATGTACACACCCTGAAACTGGAGCACACAAGACAGACACAAAAGAACACAAATACTTCAACACACACAGAATGGGGCAGCTCGGGGCGGGGGCTCTGTGTGCATCCTATCTGAGCTGCACCAGCATCGAGGACAGAGCATGGCACAGAGGCACTCAGTAACTACTGGTTGCATGAATTGATAACCTCAGAAACACAGATAACCCCAGCATTCTCAGTACACATGGGCACAGAGGGGCCCACAAATCCTCCCAGATGCACACAGACGCAGCCAGCACACCCTCGCCCTGCCCCTCACTCACCATTCACTAGTCCACTGCTGCCACCCTGCTCCACCAAGTTCTCCTGCTGCAGGCTGGACCGGGGCCGGGGTGTGGGGTGGGGTAGGGCTGTGCTCTCAGGGACCTTCCTGGGGGCAGGTGTGGGGCGGCTGGCCAGGGGGCTGGCCAGCTCCTGTGGTTTGCCGGGAAGCCGGGGTTTGCTGGGGATCTGGGGCCGAGCCTCGGGGCTGGCCTTCAGTCCATCCGTCTCAGCTCCTGCAGCTGCACAAGGGCTAGGGCTGCCTCCTTGGACGTCCTTGGCTTCTTCTGCGAGTTGCTGCCGATGCTGCAGCTTTGGCTGGGGTGGGGGCCCGGGCCTCGTTCCTGACCGCCCACCAGAGCCCAGCCTGGCGCAGCGTTCTGCACACACAAAGGTGCCTTCCTCGGGCCCACTCCTATAAGCCCCAGGAAGCAGGGTGCTGGAGCACTGCTGACACCTGCCAGGGGACAGGACAAGGGTCCACTTAGCTGGGCAGCCTGGCCTGGGCACTGGCTACCCCTCCAACAGCAGCCAGGGCTGTTCCTTCCCTCCTCTCCTCCCAAGTGCCAGCCAGAATCCTGGCTCAAAAGCCAGGACTTTCCAAAGGAAAAAGAAAACAGTAACTGTCAGAAACGCAGTGGGCCAATAAAACCACGTGAAATCAGGAAAAGAAATGGCGAAACAGGCCTTTGGTTTGCGCTGCAAGAGGCACCGTCCAGAGGGCGGGCAGCCACCCACAGTGGCTCAGGACATCAGTTCAGTGGTTTCCAACCAACCAGGTTTGTTTGTTTAATGAAATAGAACAAAATACAATCTATCAGAGTCTATCGTACAAATAAGGGCAAATATTGCTTTCTGAAACTCTAATTCCAGTTGTGCACTACTTACTATTTAAATATAAACTATTTATACAAGTGTTTTGTTTTTGCTTTTCTGGGGGCTGGCTGGTACAGGGATAGAACCCTGGACCTCGGTGTTACAGCACCGTGCTCCAACCAGCGGAGCTAACCAGCCAGCCCTGCACAAGTTTTATTTCAGATAAGTGTTTACATCTAGTCATAGTGTCAAATGTGTTTTTTACTGGGAGTCACTGTAAAAATTTCTAAAACACTGCCCTGGTGGCTAGATGTTACTGCATTGTGTATCCTGTTTCCCCCGGTCCTGATGTGTTCCCCACAGCACCTCAATTCTGCAGTCAGGTCCCTGAGTGTCCCTCCCTCACTAGCTGACACCCCACTCACTCACATACACACCAGAACAGAGCAAGTGCATGTTGTCATTGAGTGGTTTGTTTCCCTTGACTGCTCGATTTTCTTTCCTGTAACATATGTTATCATAAGTTTCCTAAGGTTCTGAATTTTCCTTCCCTCTTATTCCATTTTCTTAAAATCTGGCTTCCTCTGGGAGCCACACACTTAAGCAAGTTGTTATTGTGGTTTTTAAAAGTATATACTGCTTACTCATCATCAGGTAGTTATCCTCAAGGAGCTGGGGCGCTGGTAGCAGAACCCCTGAGCTCTCGCCCTGTAGCAGTCACACAATCCTGCCTCAAACTGTGCGGCTGCGCAAGTCTTTCTCCCCTCACTAGGCCTCAGTTTGCTCATCAGTAAAATGGGGATAAGCAAGACGCTCTGGCACAAAGAGCCCAGCAAGGCACCTGGCACGCTGTGGGGTGCCGAATCCATGGTAGCTCCCTCCCGGGCACTGGGAGAAATGGTGGCGAGCCCCTGGCCACTCACCGGAAGCAGTGCCGGTGGTACAGCCTGCCCTCGGCCAGGAAGCGCTGCACCAGGTGCACGTGCTGCTGGCAGGCCGCGCACACGCTGCTGGGGGGCCGGTGCGTGCCCTGATCCGACAGGCTGCCTGAGGAAAGCTCCTCGCCCTGCAGGGAATGAGGCAGGCAGGTTGGGGACAGGGGGCATGGTCACCAGCCATCCTGTTCAAGAACATTCCCACCTCCCCTCACTCCAATTGCCACCATCCCTCAAGTGTGCACCGAGCTTCCTGGTAATCATGTGGGCCTTAGTCATCAGGGCCTGAGGAGGGGCAGAGGACAGGAGATTGTCACTGGCTCCCAAATTAAAGCCCAGAAAGGGGGAAAGATTTGCTCAGGGTCACTGAGCCAAGATGGAAACACAGAAATCCTGACTTCCAGTTTCTGACCCCCTTCCCCCAGGAAGGGAGCTCCTGACTACACAGTTCCTTCCCCTTGGCTGCTCTTGCCCCTCATCCTTGCTTCTGGGTTGGCCCCTGAGGGGTTATTGTCCCCTTAGGCCAACCTCATCTGCCTTCAGCTCCTGACTACACAGTTCCTTCCCCTTGGCTGCTCTTGCCCCTCGTCCTTGCTTCTGGGTTGGCCCCTGAGGGGTTATTGTCCCCTTAGGCCAACCTCATCTGCCTTCTCTGTATTCTGCCCTAGAGCTGCGGCAGATTTATATCCCAGTTTCTCTACTTCCAAGCACTGTGACCTTGAGCAAGCTGCTTGAGTCTCTGGGCCTTGTGATCCCACCTGAAAAATGGAATTGTATAGCCCCTGCCAGCTCCACCCCTGACACCCTCACTGGGGACCCACCCTGGGCCTGGCTTTCTCCAGAGCTCCTCTAGCAAGGAGCGGCTGGGAGCAGATGGGAAAAGCCCTTTGCACACTGTAAAATGTGTTCAGATGAGAAGGGCTGGTGCCACTTCCTCTAAGCTCCTTAGAACAGGTGACTGGCAGTGTGGCCCCCACTTCCCTCCTAAGTGACCTTGGACAGATGACTAAACCTCACTGAGCCTCAGTTTCCTCATCTGCCTAGCAGGGCCCACATCAACCTTCCTGGGTTGTTGTGAGGATGAAACGAAGTCACGTTGGGAGTTTAAAGCTCTGTCTCAACAGGAATCCACGGGAATATTTGCTTTATTATGTAACTCCTGACAGCCCTGTGACAGCAGTCAGTGCTATGGACTGCCCTCTCTCCCCTTCCCAGGCCTGGCATCTCCCAACCCCACGCTGAGCCCTGGAGAAAGAACTGGGGCTCCCTGTCCACGAATGTGACTGGCATCCTGACCCATGCCTCTTTGCCTCGGCCTAGGAGACCCAGTCCCCACGTGACAGTCACTGCAAAGACAGGTGTCCCGCCAACCCACCCTCTCCACCCCACCCTCCCGCCACCCTAGGCCTCTGCCTACCTGAGCCCTGTCTCCTGGTTCCACTGAAGTGGGTGCCACAGATGGTGGGGATGAGGGTGCCAGGTCCTTTCTGGGTGGTGAGACACTGGCTGCCAAGAGACAGGAAAGGGGCCCTGAGGCAAGTGGCGATCCCAGAGTCCCAGGAGGTCCCAACCTGGCCAAAGATTTAAGCTCTGCAGACATCAGCTTTGGGCAGACCACCTAATGCTGGATAAGACCAGGCTCCTGCTTCACACAGGCCAGGGGATGCCTCCACTTTCAAGCTATGTGCCGTGGGCAAGCCACTTAACCTCCCCAAGCCTCCATAAAATGAGGACAGTAGTTCCTACTGCACAGTCAACACGAACAACAGTGCAACAGGACAGTCACAGAAATAACGGAGAGCCCGGTATGTGGCAAAACAGCTTCCTTCCCAGCAGGGGAAGCGGGCCAAAGGGAAGGCCCAAAGGCTCAGGAAAGTGGGCTGGCTTCCTGGGGTCGACGAGCAGCTGCCCTGCCCACCCCCAAGTGGGCAGGCACAGCCCAGAACCCTGCCTGCACTCCCCAGCACCAGAAGAAACCCCCCAACCCCCCCGGGCTCCTCTCAGACAGCTCCTTTGTCACTCCATTGGCAAACATCACTGATATTTAATCTGTACCCAATGATTAAAATAAAACCCAAAATGTCAGAGAACTGTACACCAAAAAAAAAATTAAGTTACTGTTTGAAAATTTAAAAAGTAAAACCATGTTCCTTACAGTGTTTTTTTTTTTTTTTTTCTCAAAAGCCACAGGCCGGCCCCCTTACAGTGGTTTAAAATAACATTTATTCTGGGCCGGCCCGTGGCTCACTCGGGAGAGTGTGGTGCTGATAACACCAAGGCCATGGG